GGAGGTCTCCAAAGTTGAAGACTTGTGGACTTCAACTCTGTTGAATTCTTCAGCCTGCCATGCTGAGAGGAGAAGATCACCATGATGGGGCTCCAGGAATTCTAGGAGTTGAAGTCCACAAGACAAGTTGCCAAGTTTGGATGGTCCAATTTGTGGCCTAAATGAATAGAATAGAATTCTTTATTGGCCAAGTGTGATTGGACCAAAACAAATTCCTTGTGTATCCTATCACACTTGGCCAATAAAGAATTCTATTCATTTAGACCAGGGGTCCCCAACCACCGGTCCGCGGACCGGTACCGGTCCGTGAAACAAGTCCTACCGGGCCGCTGGTTTGCTGGGCGCCGCCATCTTTTTTTGATGAAAAAGTGCTTCCGGTGAGCTTTTCCGGGTAGAAAGCTCACCGGAAGCACTTTTTCATCAAAAAAAGATGGCGACGCCAGCGCTTCCAGTGAGCTTTTCCGGGTAGAAAGCCATTTCTACCCAGAAAAGCTCACCGGAAGCGCTGGCGCCGCCATCTTTTTTTGATGAAAAAGTGCTTCCGGTGAGGTCACCGGAAGCACTTTTTCATCAAAAAAATATGGCGGCGCCCAGCTAATGCCGGTACCGGGCCACGCCATAAAAAAGGTTGGGGATCACTGATTTAGACCACAAATTGGACCATCCAAACTTGGCAACTTGTAGTCTTGTGGACTTCAACTCCCAGAATCCCCCAACCATCATGGGTCTCTTCTCTTCTCCTCTCAGCATGGCAGGCTGAAGAAATTCAACAGAGTTGAAGTCCACAAGTCTTCAACTTTGGAGATCCCTGATCTAAGTGAACGGATCCTTTAAAACAAAAAGTCAGTTAAAACAAAGAACTAGACTCTTTCGACCATTGTGTGCCTAAAGGGGAACTTCATGAGTTGGGATGCCAAAAGAGAAACATCTGGTTGGGATCTTCCTTCGAAAGCCAAGGGTCTCTGCCCACTGACAATTTGGAGATTGTCGTGTCCGTCGTGGAAGAAGACTCGGAGCCAGTGACTTAGTTTCAGCTCTTTATTTGCTCCGAGATCGGCTCGGCTCGAAAGGGGAAAAGCGGTGGCTTTTATTCTTTGGCTGCGGCGGCCGCGGCCAATGACACCGCTTTGAATCTCCTGTGATTAGTTTCCACCAATCGCGGGAGATTCGCGGCGGACCAATCACTGCGGCTCGCTTGGCCAATCAGCTCGCCGCGCGTCTTGTCCAATCACCGCGCGGCGTTTACGAGTATGTAAATGACTGTACAGAACAGAGATCTTTTCAGAAGAAAGATCCTGCTGAGATCCTGCAGTATGTCCTCTCCCACTGATCCACAGCTCTCTTGCAATTAGCTCCCCATCCCCCATAAACCTTCCTAGTTGGAGAAGAAACACATTCCTTGGAGAAAGGCTTGGCTTCTCCTGTGGCCTGCTGTTGTTGTTTTTTGGGGTTCCTCCCTTTTAAAGGAAAGGTTTCCTTGGAGCAGGGGTCTTCAAACTTGACAGCTTTAAGACTTGTGGACTTCAGCGCCCAGAATTCCTCCTCCTCCAGTCATGTTAGCTCAGGAATTCTGGGCGTTGAAGTCCACAAGTCTTAAAACTTGCCATGTTTGGAGACCTTTGCCTTGGAGCAACACCAAAGATGAGCAGGACAGGGATGGAAAATCTCAACCCAGCACAAAAAGTGAGTTTTAAGACCATTCTAGGTCAGGGGTCGCCAACCTTTTGGACCTCAGGGACCACCAAACTCATCATTTTAAATCCCATGGACCAGAGACCCTGGGAAAATCCCCCAAAAAAGTCTACAGGAAAATTCCCCACCCCGTTTTCCTACTGATTGATCATTCTTTATTTGGGATCACAGGATACCATCTCCAGCTCCATTCTCAGGGGGAGAGAGAGAGAGAGAGACTTTTGGCTTCATGCAAGGAAAGCAGCAGAAGCCGCAGAAGTCTTTCTTTCTCTCCCCCAAACTCTGCCAGAAATGAGTCTTTGCCAGCGCAGCCTCTTGGAGCAGGAGGCCTTGCAGGGTCCCAAAGACTCATTTCTGGTGGAGTTTGGGGGAGAGAAAGAAAGACTTTGGCTGCTTTCCTTGCGTGCAGCCAAAAGCAGAAGAAGAAAGAAGCGGAAATAGGAAACTTGGTGGCCAGGCCAGGCGCGTGGGACAAGTGGGGCAAGTTCCCCCCCTCCGCCTTTTCCCTCCTCCCCTCACTACCTTGTGTTGTTCCTAATACAGGCGACGCAAGCCTTGTCTTCCCACGGGCCATGTAGGCAAGGCAGCCTTGTGTTCCCGTGCAGCCTGGATTAATTTCTTTTGGGGGGTGACATTTCTCTACAGACCACCAAAATTTTCTCGCAACCCATCAGTGGTCTCCGGCCCACTGGTTGGTGACCACTCTTCTAGATGGTCAGGACAGCAGAGCCCATCAGCCAAACCAGCATCCAACTGGTGAGGAATACTATCAAAACCTATCCATGATAAACCATGTTTGAAAAAGGGAACAAGGAACATGGTGTTTGGGCTGCCAGGAGCATCCTCCTTTCTGTTCTTGGCAGAAAGCAGGATTTGTCTCGCAAGCACTTCTTGGAAGCAGCAAGACAAATCTGAAGCTGGAAGCCCATTCCTCCTAGCATTGATGATGTTACCTAGTTGGGTCATGAAATGTCTGCAACAATGAAGTGCAGAGAGGATGCCACACCAAAAAAAAAAAAAAAACACTCCGACCAACAGAACAAGCCACTTGTAAACCCCTTTCCTTCAAGCTCTGATAATGTTACCTAGTTGGGTCATGACACGTCCGCAAGAATGTTTGCTCAGAGAGCACAAAGGACTCCACGGTCCTCCTCCTCTTCATCTTCCTCCTCCTCCTCCTCCTCCTCCTCCTCTTTCTCCTCCTCCTCACAAGTTCCACTCCATTCTAGTACTGATGATGTTACCTAGCTGGGTCATGAAATGTCAGCAAGAATGTTTGCTCAGAGAGCACAAAGTCTTCCTCTTCCTCTTCTTCCTCCGCTTCCTCCTCACAAGCTCCACTCCCTTCTAGTACTGATGATGTTACCTAGCTGGGTCATGAAACGTCGGCAAGAAAACCACCAAGCTCAGAGAACCCCAAGGACCCCCGCATTTCAAACCGGAGCTACAAATATTCTCTCTTCTGCTGGAAAGGGTCTCCAAGACAAAAAAAAAAACCCAACAGCTTCCCATTGGAGCATCCGCCACCATCCAAACGGGGGCGGGAGGGGGAGGGGGGACAATTTGGCCAGGCTTTCCCCAATTCAACCGCCCCCACCCCTTTTTTTTGTCTGACCAAAACCGGTCGGGTTGAAGTTTGTCAACTTCTGTTTCATGGCACGTGGAGAAACAAATGGACCAGCTCTCGTTCGCTTCCGGTCAACCAGCTGGAATCTCACCCTCCTCATTGAAAGAAGGGAGCAGACCCAGAATTCAAGAGAAAGGGGGTCTCTTCTTCCTTCCTATAAAGGGGGGAGGGGGGGGTCATCCACGCTCCGCCCGTTTCCAAGTTTTCTGCAGTTCCCACGACCTTCCATCCTTTCCAGCCTCGCGGGGCTGGGAAACAAAACCAGGACGCCGAGCAAAAGCCAATCTCGGGGCGCACCCTGCCAAGCCCACCCTGCCAAGCCCACCCGAGCTCCACACGCAGGCTGAGTGCCACGTGGGAAGCTGGCCTCCCCCTCCCCTTCCCAACTCCGCTCTCCCCCTCCTCTCCCTCCTCCCCGGCGGCGAGGGCGGGTATTTTCCAGCTCTGGGGAGGTGGGGGAGATCTTTGCAAGCCCCTTCTTCCCCGAACCCAGCCGAGGCTCGTCGCCTGCCGCTTTAAGGCTGCGCTCCGCCGGGCCAAGCGAAGGAAGTGACGGGGGCGAAGCGGGGAGAGAGGGGGGGAGAGAGACCGCGGCCAGGGGCGTCCCGAGAGGGGACCAGGGGAGCCCCGCAGCTGCGAGCCGAAGGAGGCGGGTCTCCTCCGCAGCCCGGGCGGGTCCCCAGAGCGGTCCGCCCTCCCGCCCAGCCCAGCCCCGCCGGCAGCCCAGCAACTTCGGGAAAAGTTTCTCTTTTTTTCTCCCACGCAGCAGCAGCAGCGGCGGCGCCGGAGTCCCGTCTCTGGCCATCCCCGGCCGTCTTGAGCTCCGGCCGGGGATGCTCTCTCGGGCCGGCGGGGACGGCCGGCTCCCCGCCCCGCTGCTCCTCTGCTGGCTGCTGTTGTTGGGGCTGAGCGGGGCGGCCGGGGCGCCCTCGGAGCTGCGGGTGCGAGTTCGGCTCCCCGACGGGCAGGTGACGGAGGAGAGCCTGCAGGCGGACAGTGGCGCCGACAGCGTCAGCCTGGAGCTTCGCAAGAGCGACGGGACCCTCGTTACTCTGGCCGCCGACTTCAAGCAGGTGCGGGGGGGGCGCCGTCCGGGGCTGGGAAGGGGAGGCTGGAGGAGTCCCAGATGCCCCTGGGGAGGGGAGGCTGGTGGGGTCCCAGATGCCCTGGGAAAGGGAGGAACCGGAGGGGTCCTTTCAAGAAACGGGGAGCCAGCTGGAAGGGAGGGGGCTACCTACTCCCCTCCCACTGAGCCTCTCCCCGTTGCGAGGCTTCTCCGGTAAGGAAAAAGCTCCCCAAGGTCATGGCAGATGGGGACCGCAGCTAAGAAGTTAAAGGATGCTTGCTCCTGGGGAGGAAAGCTATGGCCAATTTAGACAGCCTACTAAAAAGCAGAGACCTCACCCTGCCAACGAAAGTGTGTAGAGTCAGGGCTGTGATTTTTCCCAGTTGCAATATATGGCTGTGAAAGTTGGACCATAAAGAAGGCTGAGCGCCAAAGAATGGAGGCCTTTGAACTCTGGCGCTGGAGAAGATTCCTGCGAGTCCCTTGGATGGTAAGGAGATCCAACTGGTCAGTCCCAGAGGAGATCAACCCTGACTGCTCTTTAGAAGGCCAGATCCTGAAGGTGAAACTCAAAGACTTTGGCCACCTCATGAGAAGGAAGGAAGGACTCCCTGGAGAAGAAGAGCCTAATGCTGGGAACGATGGAGGGCAATAGAAGAAGAAGAGGACGGCAGAGAAGGAGGCGGCTGGATGGAGTCCCTGAAGCAGTCGGCATGAGCTTAAATGGACTCTGGAGGATGGTAGAAGACAGGAAGGCCTGGAGGAACGTTGTCCATGGGGTTGTAATGTGTCGGACATGACTTCGCGACTAACAACAACAACAAGGAAAAAGCGGCTTTGATCAGCTCCACTTTCATCCAGCAAAAGGGATCCAGGCGGGATCATTTTCCCCTCCAGCATGCGATGCTCCGAACAACCCTGCAGGGTAGGCTCGGGCCGAAAGAGACTAGCTTGGCTGCAAAGCACCCAGGACTAAAACGTGGTTTCTTCCCTTTGGGCTTCAGGGAGTGGGGAGAATCTCTCGACTTCGCCCCAGGAACGACAGTCCCCGGTTGTTGTGGGAATGCAACCCGTGCTGGTTGATGTGAACCCCGCGATGCAGTTGGTGGAGAAGCGGTGGCTGGGAAAGAGGAACCGAAAGGCTGGGGTCCAAAACAGATCTTTGCACAAATGGGAACTTCCAGACCTGAAAGAGGAAGGGGGGGGGGGAAGTAGAGGGGGGGAGAACTAGGAGGGGTGGGACTTTCCTTCAGAAAAGCAAAGTTACTCTGATGTTCTTCACATGTTTTTGGCATCAAAGAGCTGGTGGAAGTTTGCAATTGTCTATCTTTCCAGGTTGAGCCGTTGTTGTTTTTTATCTTTCCCCTGTTTTCATGCTTTTGTTGTTTCTTCTTCCACACCATCCCAGTTGAGAAGTCCCAAGGAACTGACAGGGAGATTCCCACAGTGTCCTCTTCCTCCTCCTCCCCTCCCCCCTCCTCCTCCTCCTCCTCCTTCCCAGCCTCCAGGGTTCTTCCAAAATTCCATCTTCAACTTTCAGATCTGTTCAGATCACAGCCATTTTTCCTCCCCTTGCAGTCGGCTTCACACGCAGGGCTCCCAGACTTCAAAAGTTTCATTTTGTTTCTCAGCCCCCCTCCCCCCCACCCACCCCAAAAAAAACTATTTTAAAACATTCTCCCATATCTGTGTTCTGCTTAAAAGTTGGGACATCAGACAGTTTAGGACTTGGGAGTCGCCTAGAGGTATATCTGCCTAATTAACTTGAGTCACATGTTGCAGTAACCGCAACCAGAAGCCAAGATAGCTGGGCTGGACTCTGGGAATCGTGAAAACCATAAAAACACGCTTGGGCAATAGGCTTATTCAGCCCTGCCCCAAATTTGCATGCTTCTTCTGCATGTTCCTTCAGCTCAATGGGGTCATCTGTCAAGATCCCAGAAGCCTCCCTTGTCAGTTACGGGGCCAGCCTTCTGAATGAGGTCCCACCAATATGTAGAGGCATCCTGCCCTTGGTGGATGTCTTGAAGACCTTGGCTGTTCTGAGACAGACAGACAGATTAACAGAGTTGGAAAGGGCCTTGTAGATCATCTAGTCCAAACCCACCCCACTCCAAGCAGGAGACCCTCCACCATTTCTGACAGATGGCAGTCCAGTCTCTTCTTGAAAGTCTCAAGTGATGAAGCTCCCACAACTTCTGTTCCATTGGTTGATTGTTCTCCCTGTCAGAAAATTTCTCCTTATTTCCAGGTTGAATCTCTCCTTGTTCAGTTTCCATCCATTATTATTCCTTGTCTGGTCTACAGGTGCTTTAGAAAATAGCTTGACCCCCTCCTCCTCTCTGGGGCAGCCCCTCAAATATTGGAAGGCTGCTCTCCTGTCTCCCCTGGTCCTTCTCTTCCCTAGACTAGCCAGGCCCGGTTCCTGCAACTGTTCATCGTATGTTTTAGCCTCCAGTCCCCTCATCAACCTGGTTGCTGTTCTCTGCACTTTTTCTAGAGCCTCAGCATCTTTTTTCATAGTGTGGTGACCAAAACTGGATGCAGGACTCTAGGTGTGGTCTTGCTAAGATAGACATGGTTGAATATACTTGTATATGTAGTCTTCAAGTTACAACAGTTCATTTAGTGGCTGTTTGGAGTTAGAACAGCACTGATAAAAGTGACTTGGGGCCGTTCTCCACACTTATGGCCATTGAAGCCTCCCCATGTCCATGTAGTCAAAATTCAGATGCTTGGCAACTGACACACTATAAAAAAGGATGTTGAGACTCTAGAAAGAGTGCAGAGAAGAGCAACCAGGTTGATGAGGGGACTGGAGGCTGAAACATACAATGAACAGTTGCAGGAACTGGGCCTGGCTAGTCTAATGAAGAGAAGGACCAGGGGAGACATGATAGTGGTCTAGCAATATTTGAGGGGCTGCCACAGAGAGGAGGAGCGGGTCAAGCAATTTTCTAAAGCACCCGAAGGCCAGAGAAGGAATAATGGGTAGAAACTGAAGAAGGAGAGATTCAACCTGGAAATAAGGAGGAATTTTCTGACAATGAGAGCAATCAATCCATGGAACAGAAGTTGCCTTCAGAAGTTGTGGGAGCTTCGTCACTGGAAGCTTTCAAGAAGAGACTGGACTGCCATCTGTCAGAAACAGTGTAGAGCCTCCTGCTTGTGGGGGGAGGGTTTGGACTAGATGACCTACAAGTTCCCTTCCAACTCTGTTAATCTGTTTCTGTTTCTTCAAGTTGAATTCTTCATAAGGAATCACATGGTTTGGCTTTTTTCCCTCTTTTTCTTATCCTTTGGTCTCGCATGAAAACGTTCTGTAGTAACTCTTTAGTGCTGAGTTGTTCCCTTTACTTTTTTATGGCCTTAACCTCTGGTCAGGAGTTGATTGCGTCTAAGGACAAAGAGCTTGAGGACACACCCATGAAGGTGAAAGTGAGCTCAGATATGACATTTGGGGTTTTGTTTTTGGACTTAACCAAGAGGTGACTTCTGTCTTTTAGAGCCAAGTACAAAGGTCCTTGTGGGAGGAGGAGGAGGAGGTTGGAGGAGGACCTTGGTAAGATTTTACTAAGTAGCAAAATCTGGAGAAATTACTATTCAGGAAGAATTTGTGTCAGGGCAAACTTTGATGTCCAGCGATGGCCTCTACCCCTCCCCTCACCCACATTTTCCCTTCCTTTACAGAAGTGGGGTCGTTTTGGATGTCAGCTCAACATGTTTACCTGCAAAGCAACTTCTAAAGGAGGGAGGGAGGGAGGGAGGGAGGGAGGGAGGGAAGGAAGGAAGGAAGGAAGGAAGGAAGGAAGGAAGGAAGGAAGGAAGGAAGAATAGAAAGAAAAATGGAAGGAAGGAAAAATGGAAGGAAAAATAGAAGGAAGGAAGGAAGGAAGGAAGGAAGGAAGGAAGGAAGGAAGGAAGGAAAAATGAAAAGAAAGAAAGGAAGGAAAAATGAAAGGGAAGGAAAAATGAAGATAGGAAGGAAACATGAGAAGGAAGGAAGGAAGGAAAATGGAAGGAACAAAAAAATGGGAGGGAGGGAAAGAAGGAGGGAGGAAAGAAAGGAAGGAAGGACCCAATTCTTGATGAGGCAATCTTGAAAAATTCATATTCCATTTACACCTCTTTCGATGCACTGTGAACACTGAAGGAGAATTTAGGTGACAGCTCATCCCCTGTCCCTCCACCACACCCAGAAATTAATTTATAAGAGGACAGGTACCAAGTGATGGTGAAATTAGCCCCAAAGCAGCTAGTCCCTGTTGCTGCTGAGCCAATTAGGATAAAGACTAAATCAAAAAAATATAAAGTCTAGCATGAATTGGTCATTGTAAGAGGAGAACCTTGTTAGTCTACGGTGCAGACAAACCAGCCTCCTTCCTGGCCGTGTTATTAAAGGGTATAAGCTGCACCTTGTGTTGGATTTCCATTCATTCCATCTCCAGCATGTCCATCCAAGCTGGGAATTCTGGGATTTGAAGTCCAAGCTATCTACAAGACAACATTCTTGGGACAGGCTGGTTAGAAGTGATCTTCTTCCCAACTGCCCTAGAGAGCATGGCCGAATCAGAGATAGGATGGATCCTCTGAAGATCTGGTGACCCCAACGGTTCTCCAGAACTTTATTTATTTATTTGATTTTATTTATTTGGTTTGTCAATCGCTTACAAGATAATAGGTATAAGAATAATCATGAGTACGAATACAGGAAATAGATACGAATAAATGTGGACAGGAACGGTAGGCACGATGGTGCATTTATGCATGCTCCTCTTAGGAACGGGGTGAGAACGATAGCAGATAGTTTAAGGTTAAAGGAGTTCTGTTAAATAAAAGTGTTCTACAAAAATAAAAGACTTCTATAAGGCCTTTATTCAAGCAGGAGCAAACACCCCAAACCTTGATTTTCAGCAGAGAGACCAGAAAGGGAAGGGCGCCTTTGGGAAGAACTGGGGAAGGCCTAGTTTTTCCAGATGTTTCATATTTCCATTCCTGATCCCGCCC